TCTGGTGGCAGCTCCAACGGCTCCTGCTGGGCCACAACACCCACCTATCTGAGGCATAGTGACCTCCTGAGGTCTGAGACTTTCCCTAATAACCACCGCCACCACCACCCACCCCTGCCCTGGGCTCTCGGCTGGTGAAACGCCCGGAAGCCTGGTAGGCATAATTCACTAAGGGGAACACCCCCCTCATGGCCCAACCAGGTCTCCGTAATGCACGCCAGGTCTGCTCTACCCTCTTGTATGAGGTCATAAATGAGGGGAGCCTTATGTACCATGGACCTGGCATTAAGTGACACCAGCCGGAGACCAGGGTCCTGTAATCCCGAGCACCCAGGGGTGCGAGAAGGGCGATGAGTGTCAGAACGCGTGATCACACTTAAAACAGCGAACCCATGTCCCCCGAACATAATTTGGTCCTCGGCCCCCACCATATCTGCCTCTCCCACAAACATTAGAGATGGTAAACCCCCCAATGGAAATATGTAAATATGTAAAAACAATATGTAAATATATAAACACAATATAACAATAGAAAGCAGAAAAAATTACATATTCAATCCTCCGGTAGGGCAAATTGTTCTCTCTTTTTTTCCCTGGGAAAAGCTAATTCAGTATTCAGTAAATTAATAACTCCGCTAGTATTTTCAAGAAAATTGACATAAGGAACATTGCCTGACAGGGGTATTCTAAGTATTCATATTAAATGTTACTCTTTCTACTACAAAAGCAATTAAAATACTGACAGCTGGTTAAGATTTATTCTATATTGAGTTGCTAAGTAAAATATAATTGCTAATAGCATTCATGGGCTATACAAAACAATGTTAACATTTTAAAACTGATTGTCACAGTCTCAGAATGGTTGGTCCCAATTTTTTCTTGCCTGTTGTTCTAAAGCCTTCCTGTAAGGAGGGTTACAAAAAAATCCACCACATTATATATAATGCAAGCATTTGGTGGGCAGCAAGCTGCTTGGAAACCACAGTTGTTTATTTCAGACTAGGTAATATGGCTTGTTATAAAGAACTATCTGAGCAGTAGTCAGCAAAACCTAAAGCTCATTTTGACCACAGTTCAGAGGAGAAAAGAGTATTTTAAAAACCAATTTATTCCATATTGGTTTGTATTTTGGGAAATGATGCATTTGATCTGCAGAACTTTGCTATACTTTGAAGATTTAAGGCACAATAATTAAGTAACATTCCTAAATACATTTTCTGTGTGTCGTATTCGTTAATAGATTGAGTGCATTTTAGATGAAAAGCAGCATATTTAGTTCACCGATGGGAATGAATAATCTAGTATACGGAGAAGCAACTCCTTTCTGGAATGTGAAGAAATGAATGTTTATCAGAAATACTTCACTGAGAATAATTCAGATCTTGTCATATAATACTGGAGCTAATATAAAACTGTCCTCTTCCACTCTGCCTGCCTTACACCCAAAGGCAAAAGTTAGCTTCTCTGTAACCCAGTAGGCAGTTCTAATAGTAATACAATGTCTTTTATTCTGCAAAGTGTATCTAAATGTTTAATGCATGTTTGCATATGACTGGTCCAAAATCACCCAGCCAGCTTTCATGTCTAGAACCCACAGTCTCTTGGTTTCTAGGTCAAAACCTTGGCCATTACATTAAACTGGCTCCAACGATGCACCTTATGCAGTTAAAATCTATCTCATCACTTTTCTAGGCATAAAACTGTATTCTTTGCTTACCTGAAAATGGAATAAACATGTTTCTTGGGCTTGTAAAATTTTAATTTCCTTTTATAATTGTAGCTGTAAGTTCCTAGAGAACAATTGGTGTGTATGTGCATGCGCAATTATGTGTGTATAATCACATAAAACATATAGAAGTGTTAAGTATTGAGTAAGACTTTGTGCTCAATTCTATAAGTTTATTATGCACATATATTTCATTTTGAGGAAAGTTACAATTGTCTATGTATAGTTCATTTATATGATTCCAGTGTACTTTTTTAATGAATGATTGGAACTGCTAAGGATATAGAGAATAATTTACATAAATATATTTAACTTAAACTTGTAAAAGCTGAGCTCATGAAGATCTATGCTGGAATGCTTTAATACAGTGCTAATGTATATCGATGTAGTAGTAGCAGCACCTCTAAGACACAAAGAATCGGGATCATTTCTAAGGTTGAAGCATGGACGATTTATTCAAGTCTATGTACAAGAATATGATCAACTAAAGTTCAGCACTAATTTGGTGCTAGATAAGAGTCAATAGCAATGGCACTTAGACTTATATATCACTTCACAGTGCTTTACAGCTGTCTCTATAAGCATTTACAGAGTCAGCCTAGTGAGATTCAAACTGCTGGCAGTGAGCAGAAGCAACTTGCAGTACTGCATTCTAACCATTGGGACAATGGAATTCACAGGAGGCTAGACTTGGATCTCTGTAACTCCACCCCCAGCTTTGTCTGTTCTTATCCTACAGCACTAATTATGTAACATTTTTATTCTAGAATTATGCTTTAAAAATAGCAACAAAGATCTGTTTAAGATTGATTAATGCAGGACCCTGTTCTTTGATATTTTACTCATTGCTGTTTTATAATATACCCTTATAAACTAAGCAATTATACTTTTTCATGAATCTGTTAATACTGAGTAATGATACTGATATTTTTTTCAGGATAGGGTGTGGGCCAATGTAGGGAAGAGTTTAAACTGCATTATTGCAATGGTGGACAGATTGCTTGAAAAGAAGAACACTCCCAGCATCAGTAAGGAAAATGAAAAAGAACCTTCATCAGAATCTCAAATAAGTGGTAAGGAATGCATTTTTATTGTTGCAAAGGAAAAATAAAATAAAACAGAACAGTAAATCAGATGCTCCAGTTCTTCACCTTTTATGTTAGAAGGCTGTTTATCAGATTATATATTGGTAACATAATCTGATATTGCCAGAAATTATAAATTAGCTGTCACCTCCCTGTAAACTGCATGCTGTTTTCAAAATAAAGGTGGTATTATTATTGTTGTTGTTGTTGTTGTTGTTGTTGTTATTATTATTAT